ACAGAGGTTGAGAACAACTTTATTGTGGATTATGAAGATAACATTCCACCAAGAGAAGCTGGGGAAAGCTTTTCACTACTAAAAAAAAGACATTTCAGAAAAAGTTTTTACATCGGGTATCAAAATATGTGATGTAAAAAATACAGTTAACAAACTTTTTACATCAGGTATTTAATTACAATGATATAAAAAATAAGGAAAAAATTTTTTTTCGTCACCTATTACATCGGGCAATCTCATCCACCGATGTAAAAGATTTACAAAAAAAAAATACGGTGACATTTTTGTAAATAAGAGACAACGTGTCTAAAACGTTAAAAAAATATAAGAAAGCTATTACATCGGTTGGAATATCCACCGATGTAATAAAGTAATAAAAGATATAAAAGATATATTAAAAAAGGAGAAAAAACCAACGCGTGTTAACACAAGCTATTACATCGGTTGGAATATCCACCGATGTAATAAAGTAATAAAAACAAAAAAAAAATAAAGGCGTGGCAAGCTATTACATCGGGTGGAATATCCACCGATGTAATAAAGTAATAAAAACAAAAAAAAAAATAAAGGCGTGGCAAGCTATTACATCGGGTGGAATATCCACCGATGTAATAAAGTAATAAAAAAATAATAATAATAAAGGCGTGGCAAGCTATTACATCGGGTGGAATATCCACCGATGTAATAAAGTAATAAAAAAAAATAAAGGCGTGGCAAGCTATTACATCGGGTGGAATATCCACCGATGTAATAAAGTAATAAAAAAAATAAAGGCGTGGCAAGCTATTACATCGGGTGGAATATCCACCGATGTAATAGCACAAACGTGACAAGCTATTACATCGAGTGAAGTATCCACCGATGTAATAAAGGCAATAAAAACAAAAATAATAACTTGAGAACTGTACAATTTTCTTCATTTTCTCTACCCATTTTTTCTGACCCATTTTCGCCGCGACCAGATTTTCGCCCACCACCACGCCATTTCGCCATTTCGCCGTCTCTCCTCCTCCGACCCACCGTCGTCGCCGTTTCACCGTCCTCCCATTTCGCCATTTCACCGTCCTCCGACGCACACCGCTGCCCCGACGCCGTCTCCCTCCTACGCCCACCGCTGCCGCGATGCCGTCTCCCTCCTACGCCCACCGTCGTCGCCGTCAACGACCGTCCCACTTCGTCGTCTCTCCTCCGACGCCCACCGTCAACGGCTCACCTTCACAACTCTTTGCTCGCCGTTTCAACTGTAAGTGCAAATTTTTGTTTAAAAAACGAATTATTAGCATTATTCCTCTTTGAGTTTCAACTGTAAGAGAGAAATTTTTGTTGATTGTTCTGATCGAAAAAATTCTAAGTACTATGTTGTTGTTGTTCTGGTTATGTTTTTTATTTTGTTAATCTGTTTTGTTGGATTTTTTGTGGGTTAGTAAGGGTTTTAATGCGAGAAATAGTGGAAGGGAGTATCTAATATTAGTGGAAGGGTTTTATGGAAATTTGCATGTCACCCAATCATTTGTGACATGCAAATTTCATAATAATAAAGAAAAACAAAACCTAGCAGAAATTATTATTCACAAGCTACAAAAACAACAAGTGAAAGTGGAGTGAAGTGAAAATAGATGAAAGAAATTTTGTTGATAAAATTTGTTTAAATAACATATAGTAAAGATTGTTTCCACAAACAAGGTGTCTAGAAACTTCTAAGCTAGAGCTACAAGAATAATTTATCAAGCCTGACTCCAACATATTACAATGTACAGAAATCGAACAAACCACTACAGAACAAATAAGCCAAAGCATAAGCTAAGACTTATCCACGCCCACAAACTTATGGTTGGAGACTAAGTGAAGGCTGATGGGTAGTTTATATACAATATCACTACCCCAAAATTTGTTATGTAGTATGGTTTACATTGAGATGTAGATAAATTTTGGTTATATATTAGCATTAAAGCACTGATCATCCAAAATTCAAGTTGAAGAAGAACTTGATACTAGTGTGTATGAAACTAGAATGTTGCAAAACTATTTCACAAAAGAAAAGAATGAGTACTCCATTTAGATACATGTGAATACATGTATAATCCCAATGTATTCACCCTGTTTTATTGATAAATATAAGTTTGTCATTAGACATAAAAACTACAATTTAATTATATATGACGTTGTTACTCCTATTTTGATTTGTTGCATAGTAAATTATAAAGATGCTACTCGCATATTGATATGTTAAATGTTATTTGTAATTTCTATTTTTTTATACAATGTTTCGTATAAATATTTTTTTATATATTAAATAAAATATATTTTAATGTACTCATACTAAAAATTTTCAAAATCATATATCTCATAGTTAGTAATGTGCCCACAACTAAGCAACATAGGATCTCACCCCATTGTTTTTTAGCAAGTAATGCAAACAGAGAAGATTTCATAACCATAAATTACTCCCTCTGTCTCAAAAAAAAAAGACACTTTGTCAAAAAAATTTGTTCCAAATTATAAATCACTTTACAATTCCAATGCAACATTAATAATTTTATTTTAATGTACCCTCTGGTATTTAGTATTATACCTTCTTTCAACTCTTTTAATTTGTCTTTCTCATACAACATTAAGTAGATTTCTTAATTTATATGAAATACCCTAATCGTCTATAATTTAGGACGTTAAAAAGTTCAAATTCATCTTTATGTGCAACTAATAGTTATGTGATTTTTCATTGGCGAGTATATTTAGTTATGTGATGTTTATATCTTTCTGTATTAGTTCTTTTGGGATTCATCAAATGGCAAATGGAAATAGAAAAAAGGCTACATGGCTTCATCCCAATGTAAGTGTGATGTAAATTGTAATTCTATAGTTAAATATATACGATAAATATTCACTAATTATGTCATTCAATTGTAGACAAGGCAACAACATAACTCTAATGATTGTGGATACTATGTGATGAAAAATATGTTGGATATTGTCTCTGCTAATATAACCGAGAATTGGATGCAGGTACTAAAAATAACTTTACTTTGTTTTTTACTTTTTGTTTTTCGACTTAATATGAATTTTTTAAAAATAACTCTATATTGTTATATTTATGTATTATAGGTATTTGATGACCCAACAGAATTAACACCAGATGATTTGTATGATTTGCGACTTCGTTGGGCAAAATGTTTCTTTGACTTACATGGAACTTAAGTTTAGCTTGGTGAGTTTTATAGAATTGTATAAGTTGTGGTTTTTGCACAATACATGTGGTTTTTGCTCATGTGTTGAGTTTCTTGATTTTTTTGCTGATGTTAATTGTTATTATTTATTGTCAGGCAATATGATTTTGATGTTGTCTACCGAAGATTTTATATTGGTAATTCAAGTTTGGAAACTTAGAAATAGTTGAATATTTTAGTATATGTATATTTTGTGAATATTATGTAATTGTAAGTTTTGAAAAAGACTTATAAATAGTTGAATATTGTTTTATATTTTGTGAAGAATTTGTAATTGTAAGTTTGTATGTTGTAATACAATACAAGTTTGCAATACAATTGTTCAATTTGTAAGTTTGTTGTGAAAAATATGAAAACATCGTCCTAAATGTGATATATGTGATGTTGGAAAGCTATGAAATCTATATAGCGACATAAATATAGTCTGTTTGATATTGGAAAAATATGAAAAAATGGGTACAAATTATATTTGTATAGGGAAACCCAGAAAATAAATAATCTATTCCAAAAAAATTTCATATATTTTACATCGGTTATTAGTAAAACTGATGTAAAAACTTTCAAAAAGGGACTTTTTACATCGGTTGGAGATAATAACCGATGTAAAAAGTCGCATCACTGGGGACTTTTTACATCGGGTATTACTTCCAACCGATGTAAAAAACTGGATCAATTTTTTAAAAAAATATGCATAATAATTGTTTTTTACATCGGTTCATATATTATAACCGATGTAAAAAGTCCCTGATTTACTATATCCCTGACTTTACATCGGACCCAAAACCGATGTAAAAAGTCAATTTTACCCGATGTAAAAAGTCATTTCTGCACTAGTGTTTCTAATGAGTCCATTGAAGCTACTCAAGTAGAAATGGTTCCTAAAACTCAAGTAATGGTGAAATTTCAGAAAGATCAAGTAAAATATTTCTAGGAACAATCTTGAGCAAACATGAAAGATTTGGCAAATGATGAAGATTTAGATAATATTTCTGAAAAGCAATTTCAAGTGGTTACTTCAAGGAGAAGAAACAAAAAAAAGAAGAGAAAAATTTGTTAACAATACTAGACCAAAGTCTAGTCATCCAAAATTGTCCTTGTGAAGAGCCTCTATTGAAATATTAGAGGAGTTGCTAAAAGCTCTTCTAGACTTGCCCTAAAGAGACTGATCACTAAAAATATTCCTGATTTTGTGTTCATTGTTGAACCTTAGATGAACTTTTTTAATTTCCCTCATAACTAGTTAAATGCTCTAGTCTTTTGCTTTCAATCAAAGAATAGACCTTTTGACAAATCTTTGGTGTTTCTGTGAGTCAAATCTTAACCCTTTGATTAGAATCCTCAAGTCTAATCTTAAATTTTGGAATAAAACTTTTTTGGTAATGTCCCGACCAAAGGTTATAGAAGCTGAAAAAGTCTTAGTTGACATTCAACGTGTTATTTTAAGTGCTAATATAATCCCAATTTGCAATGAAATAATTATACGCAAAAGTATAAGTCTCAAGTATTGAGAAAGCCAAATATTAGGGTTAAGTTCTAATGTGCATTAATTATGATAATTTCTACCTACTACTACATTGCAAGATGTTATGAGATATCCACCAAGCTAGTAGTATTCATTGATAAAAAAAGAAAATATAACCAACATCATTTATTTTTTACACATTGAAATCTGACGCATAAGGAAAGAATCCTAAACAACTGCTTTAATCCTCATTCCTCTCTTCGATGAACCCATCGTGGAGTTCAATCTTGTCATCAATCCTACAACCATGCCACTTAAGGGATTGCTAATGTATGACCTTGTTGTTCATCATCTTTGACTGCTAATGTATCGCCATCACCCTTTTGTTCATCATCTTTCTGTTCATCTTTGACTACTAACCCTTCATCATCAGCAACTTGTTGTTCATCATCCAATGCAAGTGAGATTTCATGACCCGGTGGCAAGAAATTGTTGAATCTTGAAATCAAATCTGTATGCTCTTTAAACAACTTTATGGCTAATTCTTTGACAGCTCCGATATCAACGCTTCTGGCCATGTAACCAATTATGAGTTTTGAGAATTCTTCATACTTTCCTCTCTTATCTTTCAACACAAGTTTCACTGCCTCCATAAATGCTTCTGCATCTTCATGCTCTGGAACAATTCTTGAGCTGCTCATCTTGAAGGCTGAAAGTATAGAGGGAAGAGAGAAGAGAAAGTATCAATGAGGTGAATGAGATGTTTTGCCGCTATATATATAGAGTTAGTAGAAAACTAACAAACCAACTATCTATTTACAAACCCTAACTAACTTAAAGGTGCATTATAACTAACTCGTATTTCTTCATTTTGTTTTTCTTTTTATATCAGGATTACTAGAAGTTTGTTTTCAATTTGCAAGCTTAAAGGAAGGATTTCAATAGGCCACGTTTCTATTATTTTTTGAACTATTTCAGTAACGTAACCTTATTCTTCTAAGTTATGAAATAACAAAATTGTCTTTGACATAGTAGACTCACACAGTTGAATAAAAGAGGCTCTAGTTGTCACATGTAGGTCTTGTTTTAATTAATTGCTACGAATACTGCAAAATTTATAAAAATGTAATAAATAAATTTTAAGGCTAAATAAATGTATTATAATAAGAAGAAGGTAAGAAAACTATCGGCCAAAGTACACAGGTAACAGCGCGGGGAGTGTTGCTCCAGGAAAAGGAACACACTAAAAACAAAAGAACAAAAAGAAAGGCAAGGATAAAATCTGAGAGAAAAGACACCAAAAACAAAATTCAGGCAAAGCTAGACCTCTCCAAAGGAAGTCTGCAAGAGAATAAAGAGCCCACAAAAAACTAACAAGAACCCATCTAAAGGGAGGTCGAAGCCACTCACTCTGCGAATTACTCAGAATCAGAATAGAGTTCTCAAGTCATTCTGAGAAGCTATAATAGTTCCCCACAAACCTGTCAAAACACCACTTCCAAGCCAAAGTGATGTTTATGTCTTCTACGTCGCTTGTCACCGAAAAACCAGAAAAAATAAAATCATTCCTAGTTTTCCAAATCAACCAGACCATGATATTATGCCAGATCATAAAAAAAATCTAATACTATAACATTCACTAATGGGAATAAACATCTCAAAAAGAGTCACGACATCTTTAGGCAAAACAGACCAATCCAACTACCTAAAAAATCTTATACCACACTGAGGAGGAAGCCTTAAAGGCATAAAGAGATGTGAGGATGACTCAATAGCCAGGGAATAAAAAGGGCGGAAATAGTCCCTGATGTCAAGAGGATACCCCTCTTTAGTAAGTTGACTCTGATAGGGATATGATCCTGAAGAAACTTCTAGGAAAAAATTATAACTTTACAGGGGTCCAACTAACCCAGATATAAGGAAGGACTGAGCCAATGGAAGCGGCGTGCTGATTCAGGAAAAGTTGGCGAGAGAATAGACCAGAGTAAACAGAAGACACAAAATATATACCATCACTCAAATCACGCGACCTTCACTTATCGCTCTCTGGTGATGGTCTAAAATCTCTAATCTTCAACTAAAGGTCACCAAAAAGAGCCACATCATAACTAAAGAAGAAAGGTCCCCGCTGTAACGCATGATATTTAATTAATTATTTAACTAAATATTTTCGAAATATTTTTGAAATAATTGTCGAAGTTGTGAATTGTTGTGAAACATTGATTTAAGTTGTCATGTTGTTAGTTGATTATTTGGTTGATTAAGTTGTATGAATAGTATTAGAATAATACTAGATTTATTATGTGGGCTTAATAAAGTGGTTGTATGTAGAAAAGATAGGGTATGAGAGTTAGGCCCAACAAGATTATAAATTATAAGGCTAAGTGGAATAAGGAGAATTAGGTTAATTGAACAAGTCTTGGAGAATTTTGGTACGTGAGAAGCTGCAAGGTTACAAAGAAGAGACAAAGGTTGGAAGCTAGGGCGAGAGACTTTAACCGGTAGAACGGAGTGATCTCTAATCTAAGGTAAGGGTGGGTTCTGACTATCTAATTGGTTGCATGATAAATTTTATGTGGGAAATTGGGTAAATGAAATTGCTATGCGTTTGCATGCTGCCTCTGTTTTGAGAATTAGTTTTTGTTTTACTATGTTAAAATCGTTCATGAGTTGTTTGTATAATAAATTATGGTATAATTGATGTTGTTATTAGAAATTAAAAGTTGTTATGGTTGCCGTAATATTTCGTGTTGTGAAAATTGATGTTGCTGCAATTGTAAAAATTATTTTGTTATGAGTCGAGTAATCGAAGGCAAATTTGAGTATTGGAATCAATTATAGAGAATTCTGCGTAAGAGAAAAAATAGAAACTGAAAAACTATACGGTGCCGAAGGGCACACAGACTGTGTCGGACGACACAGAAAGTAAAAGTATGCTGAGGGGGACACCATTTGTGTCGAGGGGCACACTAGAATATAAGGGTGTGCCGAGTGGCACACCATGTGCAGAGGACCACCTTTAAATTTCTTTACTGTGTTACTTAATTATTTTGTTTTATTAGTTTCGTAAGCATAATATTTACACAATGAAACCAATGATTAGTAACCTACAGATTAAAAGACTTTTATTAAGATATTAGAACTCAGTAATTAATTTAGTAGAACCAGTACATAAGCATATTTAGCAGAAAGTGAATGAGTTACAGAATATTCGTATATCAGTAAATTAATTAGCAGAGTAGTAAATTAGTAGAGTTGTTTTGGTAGAAGTAATTAATAGAGTATTAATACATAGCAGAATTGGTTTATAACAGAGATGGTCAGTATGACAATAGTAGAGTTGATATTTAACAGAGCTAATTAGTTGGATACTTTAGCAGCAGAAACAAAAAATTAATTATAGCAGAGTTAATTTAATGGATTTGGTATATGTATATAGCAGAATTGGATAGCAGTGTAGTATTAAGTTGTCAGAAAATTAATAGGAATATTAGTATAAAGTAGAAATAATGGAACGTTTAGCCGGTAATTAATTAGAAGAATTTAGTCAATTTGTCCGAGTAACTATACAGAACAATTGTTGTATATTTTAGTCGATACAATGTGTTTAATACTTTGCTGGAAAATATGAATTGCAGGTGGTATTAAATTGTTAGGCTTATGGCCAATATTGTTTTCTTATTGATGTTATTTTCGGATTACTATTGTTGATATATTATTGTTGTCGTGAAGTACTAAGTTTTAGGATTATGCCAATGTTGTGTTAATTGTTGTTGTTGAAATATCAAGCTGTAGGACTATGGCCAGTGTTAAATTATTATTAAGTTGCAGGCTTATGGCCAATGTTGATTTAAGTTGAATTATTAAATTGTGGTTGAATTGTTGTTGTTGCGTTTTTATTGCATTTTTGTTGAATGGTTGATGTTGTAGTTGTTGTTGTGTTTCAAATGTTGTCGCATACATAGCATATCAAGTTGGGAGATCATGCTCTGTAAGTTGGCCTGGATTGGCAAATATTAAGTTGAAGGCTTATGCCTTGTTGATGCCTCTATTAATTGGCAGATTTTTAAGTTGGAAGTTATGCTCCAATGGTACCACATGCATGTGAAATGTAATTGAGTCGCAGTTGATGTTGCATCTTGAGTTGTGGGGATGATATATTTGTTGTTGCTTTATGTTGTTGACTTGTTGTGACAAGTGTGATATGGTGGGAGAACTGACTTGGTTGTTTTGCATTTTATCGCAAATATTGCGGTTAGCAAGAGTCACCACCGACTTTTCTTTTATCCAAAAGGAAAGGCTGAAAAGAACAGGAAAGACCTTTAGAGATGTTTTCTTGAGTTCGGGGGATTTATTTTGAAAAGGGAAGGTATTAGCACCATTTTTATCCCTAGTTATCTATGGGCTCTTAGTTGCTTGCTAGATCACTTGCTTTTGTTTGAAAATATGCTTTGTGTGGTTTTTGAAAGTATTTTGAAAAGGCGCCATCGTTTAGGCAAACTTTGTAATAATTCTCGTTCGTAAGAATGTATACAAAGTGTTGATCTTTTGAAAATGTTTCAAGTTTGAAAGATGTTTTAAAAGTGTTGGTGTTTGTTTTGAAAATAGCAAGGATGTTTTTGTTTGAAAATGAGCAAGCAACTATGAACATTCTACCTACTTAAAAAGTCATTCTTGTTTATTTCCTCTTTATTTTGATATTGTTATTTTACCATGGATTGGTAAGTAACCTTATCTTTGGATGTAAAGGGACGGACGTGGGTCATCGTATAGCCATGATAGCAATGCTGTGAGATATCTTAGCAATTCTCTTTGAGGAACTAAGATCATTTTTGAAAGGCAACTTTGGATAGCGTCATCGAGGGACTATGATATTGTATTTTTGATTGCTTTTGCTAAGATACTTCACATGCATAACATGGTCATTTTTGTAAGGCAACAAAGTGGATTTACCCTAAGGGTGTAAGTGTGCAACTGTGTTGATTTACATGCATTGTTTTGTCTTGAATTAGGGTGTGCTAACTTGTTGATTTTAATCTTTCCATATAAATCCTAATTTACTAGCATTTATATAAAGCATTAAATTGCGGAAAATAAAAATACTAAGCTATTACATCAATAGGGGAGGGGACGTACGAATTTACAAATGGGAATTTTGCAAGAAAATTAAATCTAATTAACTATTACAACCATATTGAATAATGTACAAAATTGAAGATAAAATGCAAGAATGCAAAATGGAAAAAGAAATGATTTTTATTTGATTTTATGAAAGGTTTTAATCTTAACCTAATTAAGAAAATAATTAATGGAAATTAACTAAAATTAAAACCAAAATTAATTAGCAAAGAATAATAAGTTAAAAATGATTTTTTAGGGTTTTTTATGAAAAGGTTTTAAATAATAAAAATAATAGGAAAATTAATTAATTAAAATAAACCTAAGTTCTAAATTAATTTTTAATTAAGAAAAGAAAATAATGCAGTCATTAATCCTAAACCTAAATATTAATTCATAAAAAAAGAAATTAATTTGTTAAAGGAAAATGTTTTTGGTCTTTTTTTATGTTTGTAGAGAAAATAAAATAAGTAATTATAAATAATAAGTAAAATATTTTTTTATATTTTTATTAATAAATAATAATAATAATGATAATAATAATAATAATAAAAATAAAAATAAAGAAGAAAATATGAATTAG